CAGAGTACATTCAGAAAGGAGATAGCCACCTGCTACCCCAATTTTTTAAGCATACTTTTTTGAACTTTTAGCTTCTGAGATTCTTACCTGTTGTAACAATAGAGACTTGAACTGTGCTTTGTTCGTTGAAGTTATTATGCAGTAATTCTAATATCTGCATAATATTCTTTCCATAATGTACCATGATCACTCTATTAGTTAGCACTCAAATTGCTTCCAATCTTTCATCGTTATAGATACTGCAGTGAGCAACTGTGAGCATCCGGTTTTTCTTATAGTTTGGATTATTTCCTTAAGATAGATTCCCAGAGGTAAGATTACGGGCCAAAGGGCTTTAATATTTTTATGATTCCTTATAGATAGTGCCAAGTAACTTTCCAAAGGATTGGACAACTTTTCAAAGCCACCATTAATAGAGGAGGTAGTCAACCGCATAACTCCCTGCCAACTCTGAAATCGCATTAAATCTGTAAATTAACAATGGGGGAAAATATTACTAAATTCAGACTGGTGATGAAGTAGTCTGTCTATTGCTATGTTGGTTGCTGTGCAGTTTTTCTTTCTTATCTTTCTTTCTTTCTTTGTGTATATATATATATATATGCATAAGTGGTATATATGTATCTATGTACAACCGGGTATAGTAAACAAGACACTGCTTTGGAACACGAGTGTCCAGAGTGTCCCCCCAGGAGCCTGGCCACCCATCCTGGAGGGGCGGGGCGCAGGTACAGGTCTGTCCCCTGCGCCTCCCACCTCGGGAATCAAGGTGGGAACCTCTTGGCTGTGTGCACAGGAACCAAGCCAGCCCAGCAGGTCACACCCTGGAACTCAGTGCAGCGTGGGGAGAGCGATCAGGTCAGAGTCGTTACCTGGCAGATCTCCCAGGTAACTCTCACTGAAGGGCTTCCCCGAATCACTCCCCAGAGGTCCCCCAAGATCTGGTATCGGTGGCTCCGGTACTGCTGTTTTGGAGCGTGGAGGACCCTGGAGCGTGGCGGCATTGCCGAGAGACCCCAGCGGTCCCCACCTCTGGCCTGGCCCGTCCCCGTAAGTCCTAGCTGTGGACTCCGACTCCAGGAGGCGCGGGTGCTGACTCACAGCCTGCCCTCGGGTACCGTGCACCGCAGGCCTGTGTGGACAGGAGTCGGCCCTGCCCAGGGGGCGTCTTCCGGTGCCAGAGCCTGGCACAGGCTTCTGAAACGGAGCCTGCAGAGGGCCTCCTGATGACCTCTCCTGGCCCTGTCAGGGGCCATCCTGGGCCCCGGCCTCCCCAGGAACTCCCGTGCCATCCGTAGTCCTGCGGGCATCGCAGGCTCCCTGATATCATGAGATACACGTTTGGGTGAATGGGCATCTCTGGAGCAGGCTGGACCCTAGCACTGCAGTGCCCAGGAGCCCCTGCCTGCCAGCTGGCCTCTCCCGGCCTGTCCCAGACTCAGGGGCAGCTCCCAGGGGGACAGTGCACTCTTGTTCATCCCTGGGAACCCCTGCCCCGGGGCCCACGCTCTCCTTCCCCGGCTTACATATGACCGGATGCTCGCATCAGAGAATCCCTGGGGCCACGCGCCCCTCCCATCTCCTTGCCTTCTATGTGTTCCCTGACTCTTCTCCTGCTGTCTCCGCCAAGTACGCCTTCCCCGGCAACAAATAAAACACAGTAACCCAGCGTCAGAGGTGAGGTTGCTAGGGGCTGATTGGCCCATACTCTCTCCTTTAGGTCACACCCGCCTGGAATCAGATGGGAGGGGATGTCAGATTCGCAGCATCAGCTGGCGGTTGCAAACTTATGGCGTGTCCTCAGGGGGGCGTCCCATAGACCTGACGAGGATCTGGGTCTCCATGATGTGTGTTCAAGACCCACGGGTGCTTGTGGACGGATGAAGGTAAACGTGCTTCCTCGAGCCCTGCGCTAAACCGGGCTCTGCTCTCTGCTCTGGACCAAACACTGCGTTGGGGAGAGGAAGTCATTACCTAGACCTGAAGGGGGCGCTCTCCGACCACAGGCTTCTTCCCTGGCTTCTTGCAGGGCCTCCAGATGATGCAGGAAGCTTTGAGCAGGGAGTGATGCAAAATGTTTCTACCCCCAGGAGCGCTTGTTATTAAGCTTGGGGGCACTCTGAGGTTGGAGGAGCCCCTGAGAGAACAACACAAGCAACATGAAGCCAGAAAAATCAGAGGAACCATCTTACGATAATGAAGATAACAGCCCAAATGCTGGTGCTCATTTAGTTTTTACCATATAATGTGCTGTGTTGAAAATATATCACCTAACTCAATCCTGCCAACCACCCTGTGAAATCATTATTCTCACTTCACAGATGAGCACCCTGGCCTCGGAGGGGTAAGTGATCTGCCCGGGGTCAGCGGCTGGGCGTTTGCCTGTCTGAGTCCCGTCCTGAGCACCCGGAGAAACTGCCCTGGGCCTGGCTCTCACCACTCAGCCCTGTGCCCTGGACAGGAGACTCCGTTTACCACGTCCTGTGCGGCGTGCAAGGTGCCCTAAAGGACGAGAGGAAGCTGGGGGTCCAGTGCTGGCTGCCGGCTAAAGGATAAAGACCCCATCCTTTATCCGCGTACGGGACCCTCCAGACCTTTCACTTTTTGGACTTGTCTTTCCCTCCTCCTCTTCAGCTGCTGGCCCAGTAAGCCCATGGGGGCAGAGGCTAGACTTTGGGGCAAGGTCGAGCTGCTGCCTCCAGGGAGGCACCCGGAGGAGGCTCGGGGCTGAATGGAGGGGGCGGTGTGGGCCCGGGTGCCTTCCAGGGCCGGTGGCGCTCTGGCTGGGGTAGGTCCACAGGCCCCAGCGTGTCTCTTGACCTTTCCTGCTTCCTTGGCCATTTCACCCAGAAAATCAAGAGAAGAGCACTGCCAGTTTCCACCCACTGTCCTTGGCTGACCTTGCATCCTCAGGACAGATCCCACCCCCTTCCAAGAGCCTGGTGCCAAGCTCCACATGTCACTTCCTTTCTCACTGATGTCCCCAGCTGAGGAGTGATCATGTTCAGAAAGATTAACTAGTTTTGCCTGTATCCAGCTGTTAAATGTCAGAACTGGGATTTGAACCCAAATCTTCCTGACTTTCCTTGGAAGAAAAGCTATGACCAACCTAGACAGTGTATTAAAAAGCAGAGACATTACTTTACCAACAAAGGTCCATCTAGTCAAAGCTATGGTTTTTCCAGTAGTCATATATGGATGTTAGAGTTACACCATAAAGAAGGCTGAATGCCGAAGAATTGATGCTTTTGAACTGTGGCGCTGGAGAAGACTCTTGAGAGTCCCTTGGACTGCAAGGAGATCCAACCAGTCCATCCTAAAGGAAATCAATCCTGAATATTCATTGGAAGGACTGATGCTGAAGCTGAAACTCCATACTTGGGCCACTTGATGTGAAGAACTGACTCATTGGAAGAGACTCTGATACTGGGAAAGACTGAAGGTGGGAGGAGAAGGGGACGACAGAGGAAGAGATGGTTGAATGGCATCACCGACTCGAAGGACATGAGTTGGGTAAACTCCGGGAGATGGTGAAGGACAGGGAAGTCTGGCGTGCGGCACTCCATGGAGTCCCAAAGAGTCGGACACAACTGAGTGACTGAGCAACAACTCCCTGGCTTCAAAGCTCACGCCTTTTACGTTACCCCAGGCTGACATTTAGACCCGCTCAGGCTGAGAGGGACAGAGGAAGAAAAGGAGTAGAGTTATCCGGAATCCAGCCTTTAAAGTTACTTTTGGTGGTCTGCCCTTGCCTTTTCTTTCAAGGCTGAGATTACCCAGCCACCGGAAATAGGACTTACTCTATTTTCTTCTTTACCATTGAAAAAATTGAATTATGGTTAATTTACAGTGTTGTGTTAGTTTCAGATATACAGCAAAGTGACTCAGTTATAAGTTTATGTATATATCTATTCTTTTTCAGATTCTTTTCCATTATAGGGTATCACAAGATATATAGAAACCCGTGCTATACAGTGAGTCATTGTTGTTTATTTTATATATAGCAGTGTGTATCTGTTAATCTCAAGCTTATAATTTATCCACCCCTCCTTCTCCTTTCGTAACCATAAGTTTGATTTACATAATATTTGTGTTTGTTGACTTACTGAGTTTGATCATCTCTAGACCCATCCATGTTACCACAAATGGCATTATTTCATTCTTTTTTTATGGATGAGTATTATTCCATTGTGTATGCGTATAGTTGTTGTTATTTAGTCACTGTGTCTATATATATATATATATATATATATATATATATATATATACACTATATGTATATAGTTGTTTAATCCTATATATTTAATATATTATTATATTTTATATATTATAATTTATTTTATTTATATAAATATAATTTAAATTATATTTTATATTTATATATTATTAATAAACTATATTAATATTTAATTATATATAGTTGTTTAATCATTAAGTCATGTCTGACTCTTTGACAACCCCATGGACTGTAGCCCACCAGGCTCCTCTGTCCATGGAATTTCCCAGGCAAGAACACTGGAGTGGGTTGCCATTTTCTTCTCCAGGGATCTTCCTGGACCAGAGATCGAACCTGTGTCTCCTGCATTAGTGGGATTCTTTACCACTGAGTCACCAGGAAAGCCACTATATATATATATATGTATACACAGACACACACACACACACACACACACTCGACTTTATTCATTCATCTTGGACACATCTCATTAAGTAATGCCGTGGAACCTGAGGGAGGCTCCTGACCCTTCTGAAGAAATGAAGTGGTGCAGTGGTCTGGGAGGCAGGGGAAGGTATTGAGAACACGGGGACTTCACGGGAATCTCAGCCTCTGTGGAACCTTCCAGTAACCGTGGAAGGACCTTAGATTTCCCAGATGTGCCTTTGAGAGCCAAAGATCCTTTGTTTGGAAGAACTCCAACACTTTCCCTCCCAACCCACTGTTCTCACGGCGCTCTCAGCCCTGCGTTTGGGGGAGATTTTGTTATTGTCGCTGTCCTCAGGAAATCCGTGCTACTGAAAAGGCTAACTGGAGCAGGGCCGGGTGTGGACGCGGAGGTCAACACCGCCTTCAGCCCCTGCGGGGACCCGGCGGCAGCAGGGAGTAACCGGCTGCTCCAGCAGGCCGCGCTGTGGGACTCCGGAACCAGCGGCGCGTCCTGCAGTCGCGGAAGCAATCTCCGGGTTTGTTCAAGGACGGGGTCGCTGCCCGGGGGTTTATCCTGGGACCCAGCAGCGCAGACGTGTCATCCTTCTACAGACAGGGCACTCGGTAAGGGCCCTGCGGGGACGGGTGCCCTCAGCCCTCGTGGGGCTGCCGTCCTGGGGCGGGAAGGGCAGGTGAACCCTTCCCTCCTCTGGTGCCCCGAGGAGAATCGCCGGGACTCCAGAGATGCCGCGCGGGCAGAAACTGCGCTAACTGGGAAACGACAGAGGAGCCGAGTAATCCAAACAGCTTCAGTGCGAGCGGAGCCCCTGGAGATGCCGTGGTTCTTGATCAGAGGTTCGCTTCAGAGTCACCCTGGGAGCAAAATTAGCATCCCTGGCCGGCGCCCCTGCTCGCTGGGGGGCGGTCCGGGTGAGCTGCGGAGTCTGTGTCCTCAGCCTCCAGGGCGATCCCGCGAGGGCTCCTGGCAGCTCTGCAAAGGTACCCGCCGTGGTGTCATCCTTGGCCCTCAGTTAGTGCAGAAGACACATCACAACTAGTGAGCTTCCACTCTTCAGAGTCAGTTTCCTCATCTGTAAAATGGGCCAAGTGGCAGAGAAGGGCTAGTTGCTCAAACCCAGAGACCAGACTTGAGCTACAAGGAGGGCCCAGGGCTCCTGGCGTTGCTCCCCCTACCCGCTACCTCCATTCCCCCAAAAAAGCTGGGGGACCTAGTGAAAAGGCATGTCATCGCTGATGAGAGCCATGCCTTCCCCAGTAACAATCATAATATACTGATGTCAGCAGGATGAGCTTGGTCCTTTCTTCGAGGCTGGAAACTATTAGGAAAAGGGAGCCTCTTCTGTTTTAAAACTAGACATTTAATTTCCAAATACATAGGATTTTGTTTAAAGTACCTATAATATTAATTTCTCACTGTGATACTAATTTCTCATTTAAATGCTTTCTTCTCTGCAATCACCCTCTATTTTTTCAGCCTAACTTTATTGAGGCTTTGATGGCTAATTGAAGATCTCTCTTGGTAAATGTCACATGGCACTTTAAAACATGTGGGTTAGTTTCAAATATCTTTTGATATTGACTTTCAACATAGTTCCACAGTGATAAGAGAGCACTCTGTATGATTTCAATACCTCTAGACTGTGAAGTTTTTGCACCTTGTTTTATGTCCCTGGATATGTTCCAGTGTCTCCTAGTTTATGGGAACTTAAATAGAATCCGTATCCTACTGTTGTGTGAAAATTGTATACATCTTAATTATGTTGGATTGGTTCATAGTGCTTTTCTGGTCTACTATATTCTTCTACTTCTCTGTATAGGTATTCTATTAATTTTTGAGAGTTTGATACTGAAACTCCAACTAAAAAAATTTTAATTTATCTACTTAAAAAATAATTGTAATGTATAGTGGATCTATATGTAGCCTTGTTCTGTATTTTCTAATACGCCTATAAATGTGTTATCATACTTTATTAATTAAAAAAAAAAAAACGACAGAGACCAAAAAAAGGATAGCCTAAATAAGAAGTTAGAGACAAAAAAAAAAAGCTTATTAATGTTGTATCTTGGTGTCTCTTTGGCACTTTCATCTCCCAAACGGGAAAACCAGATTGACAGAAGTGAGTGATTGTTCTCAAGGTTGAACAGGTAACTTGTGACAGAGGGGGGCCTGGGAACCGGGGCGCTGGGGCTCCACTCCCCCAACCCCCTAGGACTGTATGGGCTCAGAGGAACGGCCTGAGGGAAAGAGACCCCGGGGCCTGCAGCATTCAGCTCTGGAGACCGAGAGCCCACTCACACCCTTTCCTTCTGTCTTGTTTGAATCTGCTCCAGTTATAAGCAACGCAGAAGTTAGGTTATCTGAAATCCTCCACTTCAAATACTTCACTGGACGGTACTGCCTGTTGCAAACGGTCCTTTCAACACAGAGCTGAATGTACAGAAAAGAAAAGGAAGCTTGGGAGCTGAAAACCAAATGACTTTGCCTGTGCCTCGCTGCCCTGGGGGCGTTGGCCAGAGTCAGGGGTGGGGAGGATGGGGGTGGGTGGGGAGGTGATGCTTCTGACCCCACAGCGAGCAGAGATCTGGGTGAGCCCCCTACACAGGCAGGCCTGGAAGGACTGAGCCCACTCAGGAAGAGGAACATCTCCCTGAGAACTTGCCACCCATGATTTATTCAAGTAGAAATTATAATTTATTCAGTAAACTTAGAAACTAATAGCAAAGTTATGTTTTAAAAAAAATCCTGTATGTGTGGAAATCTAGTAACCCATTACTAAGTAAATCTTGGTTAAGAGAAAATAAGGGAAATGAATAATGCTGATAATCAAAGGATAATGAAAACACATGTTAAAATGTGTGGACATGCTAAAGAAGTGCTTTTAGGTGAAATTATAACCTTAAATATGTTTAGTAGAAAATTTTAAAAGGTTAAAAATTACAAGCTAATTGTCCAAGTTAAGAGTTTGGAAAAGGAGCAATGGAATAAATACAAAGAAACATCATAAAAGAAAATAAAAATAAGAACAGAAATGAATGAGCTAGAAAAGGAAAAAATACCAGCAGAGATGAACAGAAACAGCATCTGGTTTGCGAAAAAGATTAATAAGAAAGGTATCTTAAGGGGACAGGGGAGAAGATGCAAGCATGCAAAACATGTAATGAAAGGGGAGATAACCACAGACACCTGAAAAAAATTTAAAAGGTGATTAGGAAAGAACACATACAAATGAATTTGAAAAACTACCTGTGTCAGATAAATTCCTAGAGATGTAAAACATGTAAAAATTGGCATGAGAAATTTAAAAATTAAATAGACCACTATGTATGCAAGGTTTTCAAACAGAATTAGCCAACTGTCCCTTTCAAGGCGCATGCCTACGTGCATGCACGCGTATACACACACACACACACACACACACTCTGAAGGGCAGCCTCTGAAGCTGTTCCCAGTGGCCTGTCTCCTGGGATTGGCGCCTCTGAGCGTAGACCAGATCTGGTGACTCTCTTTAAGGAATCAGATATGACAGAGTGGTTGAGTGTCGCTAGGCGACTGCCCACGTGGAGACCATCACCCCCACCCTGCCCTCCTCCTCCTTTCCTTCCCAGCCCTGCTCTGGGGAAGTCAGGAGACTTGTCAGGGGTTCCCTGAAGGAGACGCCGGAACTGGGGACTGAGTCTCCTGCCAACAGACCGTGTGAACCGGTGGCTCGTAAGCAGCGTGCGGCTGGGCTGGGACGCGGACTTCCCAGGCTGGCCAAGACCCACGCGGATGAGATGCCACGCAGGTCCTCCCCTGGAAGAGCCCTGACTCACCACCTGGGAGACCTGGGTGAGAGGCAACTGCGCTGCAAAACTGTGAAGTAACTACTGCGTGAGGTTTGAAGTCACCAGGTCCTGGGGTAGTCTGTCCCATGGGGAGACGTCACATACACACAGAAAACACACCCGACTGGTTTTACTGGTAAATTCCACTAACGTTCAGTAAGCACTAGTTTCCTGTCTTGTAAAAGTTGTTTCAAAAAATAGAGAAGGAAATAATAATAAAACTCCAAACAAGAAAAGAGTAAACCATGTTGTTTCGTGTATAAGTGGTTCACTGTTTTTTATTACTACATTCCAAAACAATTTGTTTATCCAACTGCCTCGGACACACATCTGCACTGTTTTCACATTTTGATCCTGACGTACAGAGCTGCAATAACCATTCTTGGGCAAGTCTTTGTGCAGACATGTGTTTTCATTCCTCCTGGATAAATTCCTAGGAGTTGGATTACTGATGGACGTGGGAGGTGTCTATTTAACTTTATAAGAAATTGCCAAAGCTATCAGTTTTCTAAAGTGGGGAAACCATTTTGCTTCAGCCAGTAAAGTAGCAGAGATTTGTGGTTCTTTAACTTCATAAAACATTTGGTATTGTTAGTTTTTTAAATTCTGCCCACTACCATGGGTATGAAGTGGTACATAATTGTGGCTATACTCTGCATTCCCTGGTAACTAATAATATTTAGCATCTTTTCATGCGTGTATTTGCCATCCATAGATCCTTCTATGTAGTTACTTCAAGTCCTTTTCCCATGTTTTAAATTTGGGTTGTTTTCTTTATATTCTTGACTTATTCAGGTCCTTTGTATACATATATCCTCCCTCAGTCTGTGATTTTCATTTTCATTTTCTTAATGGAGAGCTAAATTTAAAAATGTTTGTAAGTTCAATTTATTTCATAAAGGTCAGTATCTATTTATTAGTTTTTTTTTTTTTACAGTAAGTTCTGAATACAATAGAATTTCTTTACCTTAGTCAAGTTTGAACCTAAAACATACAGCAATAATTACACTTAGTGGAAAAACTTTGGGGAAAAAAGTCCCTTCAAGATAAAGTCCACAATCCCCAGTATAGATCTGGCCAATACTCAAAGGAGGAAAGAGGAAGTATAAACCTGAGAGAAAAAAACAGATAAATTTTTACTATTTAGAGATTGTATGATCATCCATTTACCCAGTGAAAACCCACAGAATCAACATACAAATTAATAGAACTGATAAGAGAGTTCAGCAAAAGCAAACACCAGTAGACACCAGCAATAAGAACTAGATTCTTCACACCACTGATACAGAACCAGAAAGATATAATAAAAATGAAGCGGCATTCACATATTAACAAAGATGGGTAAAGGGTCCAGGAACTAATCAACTTATTCAAACAGGGTCCCAGCAGAAAACAGATGATACACTCAAGTTTGATAACAGAGAACAGATTAAGGAAATGATGGTTTATCAAGGTTGCAGTAGGGTGTAGGGAAACACCGAGGCTTGGTAAAACATTTTGGCGCGTGCCATATCAGTAGGCATGCTACTCCTATGCCTACGGCTTTTGAGGCTATAATTTTGCTTTCTGTTGCTGACATGGTTCAAGGTGGTTTATTCCCTTGTATGTTATGTGATTTTTGATTTTACGTTCAAGAAATTTATTTGCGAGACTTGTAAAAGACCGGGATTTGACAACGCGTTGTCCTTCAGAGCTTGTTTCTGACGGGCATCTGTCACACTGAGAAGTCTTCAGACTAAATTTTGACTTTTCCCCTCCGTGAGCAGAGCAGCTTCTGGCCCCAGACCCACCGTGAGTTGCTGTGGTTTGGAATTCTGAGAGCAGAAACGTTTTCTGTTCGTCTTCTCCTTCCCCTCAGAGCCCAGGCAAGCATTCCTACCCTTGCTGTAGCTGTGGTCAGGACTGTGCATTGCGTTTTCCAGTTTACTGCCTGGGGGTGTGGCCCTCTGCGGGGAAGGTGCCCCGACGTGCCTTTCTGATCCGATGTCTCCCTCGGCAGGGATCAGCCTCCCAGCTCCGGGCCGTCCACGCGCATGCACGGCCTCCTCCTCCTGGCCGCCCTTTCCCAGCTCCTCCTCCTTCCCATCCTCCTGAACTCTTTCAACGATCTGATCCTGGTGCTCCAACCTGGCTCAGTCTGGCAACCACTTTCCTTTCTTCTTCAAGGATCTCTAGCCCAACACAGGCAAAAGGTTTACGGACAGGTGCATCATTTCCCTGAACTGGAAACCAGGAGTGATGGCGAGAGCGGGTGTGCCCACTTCCTCCTCTTGGCTCTCAGACCCATGCATTCTAGCTCACTACTATGGAACAGCACCTTACAATGGCCTTCAGCTCAAAACACATGCCTCATCTAGGAGAGCGGCTCCCCACCCCCAACCTGATGCCTTAGCTGCGTGTTTCAGAGACATTCTAACATTCTTTCAAGCCAGCATCTTCTGCGTACAGTGATGAATGATTAAGTCCAGTGGATTCCACAGTCACATATACATTGAAACAACTCATTTGCCATAAAATCGGCCCCTGGGTCTGAGGCAATGTCAAGTGGAACCTATTACACTAAATTACGTTAAATCAGATACTCTCTGAGACTTCAGTGGCCTGGCCAAGACACTGATCGTCCCAGTTTTGCTCTTACTTCTAAGGCTTAACTTCTTTTCTTAGAGAGTATGACTTAGTCCAGGCAACAGAACTTATAAATGAAAAACATATCGCTGACGCTGAGTAAATTAAAGAGGGAAAATCGTCCACGGTAACTGTTTGCCATCAAATGGCTGATTGGTCACCTTGAGAGATGGAGCAGTACTGTGCGGACTGAAGATGAGGGGTATACCAGACTTACACAACAGCAGGAGGAGTCGGACACGCCTGAGTGAACGAACTGAACTGAGGATCTCCATCAGCCCTGGTGTGCTAGAGTGCCACCTTCTGGAAACAAACGAGAGGCCTCTGGCTTCTAACCTGTTGTATCTGAGAATCAAGGAAAAACAAACGCTTTACCTAAAGAATAAAAGGTGTTTGCAATGTCAAATGCGCCAGCAGAAGAACAATGCATCAAGCACCATGAAAAATCAAAGTAATACTATATAACAAAAGCAAAGTGACAATTTTCCAGAAACTAAACTTAAAGTCATGGGATATTGCAATGTAATGGATAGGGAATCCAAAATAGCTGTTATGAAGAAACTCAGTGAGCTATAAGGAAACTCAGAAAGGCAGTTCAATGAGCTCAGGAATAAAACTTATTAATAGAAGAAAAACTTTACCTAAGAGAATGAAAATCTAAAAAAGAACCAAACAGAAATACTGGACCTGAAGAACTCAATAAGCAAGATGAAGAATGTATTAGAATGCTTTAGAAATAGAGCAGATCATATGGAAGATAGAATTACTGAGTTTGAAGATAGAAAACTACAAGTGGTACAGAGAGAAGAGGAAAGAGAATTAAGATCTAAAGTAAAAAATTAGGAAATTCTATGACAGCTACCTGACATTTTCAGGAAGTGCAACATTATAATAATGGGTATCCCAAATGAGAAGAGAGAAGAGGGCAGAGAATTTATATAAAGAAACTGTAGCTGAGAACTTCCCAAACCTGGGGAAGGAACTGATATATAGGTCCATAAATTTAAGAGAATAACTAATTATCTCAATGCAAAAAAATCTGTTCTAAGACACGTTATATTAATATTGTCAAAAGTCGAGGGCAAAAAAAAAAAAAAAAGAGAATTTAAAGGCAACAGGAGAAAAATGATGGTAACTTACAAAGGAACCCCCATTAGGTTATCAGCAGATTTCTCAGCAGAAACCCTGCAGGCCAGAAGCGAGTGGAATGACATTCTCAAAATACTAAAGTATAAAAATTATCACCCAAGAATACTCTATCCAGTGAAGTTGTCATTCAGATATAAAGACTTCCCCAGATAAGCAAAAGCTGAAGGAATTAATCAACACTCACCTTCCTTATAAGATACGTTGAAAGATCTACTACCAGAAACAAAACAATCAAAATACATAAACTTTTTAGAAAGATGATAAATAGAATCAGAAAATTGGAACTCTACATTAGAATAGGTTTTTAAACACCTAATTTTTATAGCATAAAAATTAAAGACAAAAAAGTAGGAAAAATAACTATAGCTATTTCAATTTGGTAACAAACTCACAACATAAAAAGGGATAATTTGAGGAACCAAAAATGTAAAATGGGAAGAGAAAAAGGATGAACCTGTATAGGAAAATGAAGATAAGATACCATTAGCCATAAAAAGGACTATTTTGGGACTTCCTTGATGGCCCAGTGTTTAAGAATCTGCCTTATAATGCAGGGGACTTGGGTTCAATCCCTGGCTGGGGAACTAAGGTCCTCCATGTAGCAGGGCAGCTAAGCCAATGCACCACAACTGCTGAGCCTGCAGCTAAGACCTGATGCAGCAAAATAAATAAATAGATATTTCTTTAAAAAGGACTATTTTATCTATGGTATAGTTTATACAAAGCTCGTGTTAACCAACCAAACAAACAAAAACACATAAAACTAGAGCAGAGACAAAAACTATACAAAAGAGGAAACTGAGAAAAATAATACACAAAGCCACCAAACCAACTAGAAAACAAAAGATTAAATGGGAGTATGAAATTCATTTATGAGTAATCACCCTAAATGTTAAGTGTTAGTTGTTCAGTCATGTCTGACTCTTTTCGATGCTATGGACTGTGTCTTTGTGACCCATGGACCATATCCTGCCAGGTTCCTCTGCCCATGGGATTTTCCAGGCAAGAATACTGGAGTGGGCTGCCATTCCTTTCTCCAGGGGATCTTCTTCCAGGAATTGAACCTGGGTCTCCTGCATTGCAGGCAGATTCTTTACTATCTGAGCCACCAGGGCAGGCTGGATTTAATTTACCAATCAAAAGACACAGAGTGGCTGGCTGGATGAAAACAAGTCTCCCAATATATGCTGCCTCCAGGAGACTGATCCCAGCTCTAAAGACAAACACAGGCTCACAGTGGACGGATGGAAGGTGACACTGGGCACAGGTCAGCCTAAACAAAGTCGCTGTAGCAGCACCTCCTGTCCCAGCAGACGAGATAGGCTTCAGCCAAAAAGAGTTAACAAGGGACAGAGACAGTACATAACGATAAAGGGAACAATTCATCAAGGAAACAAACTGATTAATATATGTGCATGAAACATAGGAACAGTCTCAAAAACGACGGAATAATCTCGGTTCGTTTCCAAGGCAAACCTTTCAACATCACAGCAATCCAAGTCTACGTCCTGACCAGTAATGCTGACGAAGCTGAAGTTGAAAGGTTCTGTGAAGACCTACAAGACCTTCTAGAACTAACACCAAAAAAAAGGTGTCCTTTTCATCATAGGGGATGGGAACGCAAAAGGAGGAGTCAAGAGATAGTAACAGGCAAGTTTGGCCTTGGAGTACAAAATGAAGCAGGACAAAGGCTAACAGAGTTTTGCCAAGAGAACACCCTGGTCATAGCAAATGCCCTCCTCCAACAACACAAGAGATGACTCTACACATTGACATCACCAGATGGTCAAAACTGAAATCAGATTGATTATATTCTTTGCAGCCAAAGATGGAGAAGCTCTATACAGTCAGCAGAAACAAGACCTGGATATGACTATGGCTCAGATCATGAGCTCCTTATTGCACAATTCAGGCTTAAATTGAAGAAAGTAGGGAAGACCAGGTATGATCTAAATCAAATCCTTTATAATTATACAGTGGAGATGATAAATTGATTCAAAGTATTAGATCCAGTAGACAGTCTGAAGAACTATGCATGGAGGTTCATAACATTGTACAGGAGGTAGTGACCAAAACCATCCCCAAGAAAAAGAAATTCGAGAGGCAAAGTGGTTGTCTGAGGAGGCCTTACAAATAGCTGAGAAAAGAAGAGAAGCAAAAGGCAAAGGAGAAAGGGAAATATACACCCAACTGAGTGCAGAGTTCCAGAGAATAGCAAGGAGAGATAAGAAAGCCTTCCTAAGTGAACAACGCAAAGAGAGGAAAAGAATAGAATGGGAAAGACTAGAGATGTCTTGAAGAAAATTGGAGATACCAAGGGACCATCTCATGCAAAGCTGAGCACAATAAAGGACAGAAATGCCAAGAAACTAACAGAAGCAGAAGATGTTAAGACGAGGTGGTAAGAATACACAGAAGAGCCGTAGAAAAAGAGATCTTAATGATCCAGATAACCACGACGGTGTGATCACTCACCTAGAGCCAGACATCCTGGAGTGTGAAGTCAAGTGGGCCTTAGGAAGCACTACTGCCAACAAAGGTGGTGGAGGTGATGGAATTTCAGCTGAGCTATGGGAAATCCTGAAAGATGATGCTGTTGAAGTGCAGCACTCAATATGCCAGGAAAATTGGAAAACTCAGCAGTGGCCACCAGACTGGAAAAGGTCAGTTTTCATCCCAATCCCCAAAAAAGGCAATGCCAAAGAATGTTCAAATTACCACACAGTTACATTCATCTCACATGGTAGCAAGGTAATGCTCAAAATTCTTCAAGCTAGGCTTCAATATTACATGAACTGAGAACTTCCAGTTGTACAAGCTGGATATAGAAAAGGCAGAAGAACCAGAGATCAAATTGCCAGCATCCATGGGCTTCCCTTGTGGCTCAGCTGGTAAAGAATCCACCTGCAATGCGGGGACACCTGGGTTTGATTCCTGGGTTGGGAAGATCCCCTGGAAAAGAGAAAGGCTACCCATTCCAGTATTCTGGCCTGGAGAATTCCATGGACCCTATAGTCCATGGGGTCACAGAGGGTCAGACACGACTGAGTGACTTTCACTTTCCACTATTGGATCATAGAAAAAGCAAGAGAGTTCCAGAAAAATATCTTCTGCTTCATTGACTTCACTTAAGTCTTTGACTGTGTGGATCACAACAAACTGGGAAAAATTCTTGAAGAAATAGGAGTACCAGAGCATCTTACCTGTCTCCTGAGAAACCTGTATGCAGGACAAGAAGCAACAGTCCAGAATTGGAACCTCATAAAAGAGTTCCATCAGAATGGAACAACAGACTGGTTCAGAATTGGGAAAGGCATATGTCAAGGCTGTATAT